GCGCCCCTGCGCCTCCCCCCCCCGCCCCTGCCAGCGCAGCAGGATCTAATCGCTCCCTAGTGCAACTCGCAGGGGCTGCCCAACTCTCCAGCTACATGAGCCTGCCTGGCCTGGCCATGCTGCTGCCCCAGAGCCCCCATCCACAGCCCTCCCCCCACTGTTCCAGCTCCCCGACGCCCCAATCGCCACCCCCAGCCCCGGCTATTCCAGCCCTGGGCTCCCCACACGCCCGGCTCTGCCAATCCCTCTCATGTTTTGTGCATCCCCTCCCTGCATGGCCCCACCCAGAACTGCGCCAATGCCCCTGGGGACCCTCACACACCTCGGGTTCCGCCTGCAGGGGCCAGAGCCCACAGCCCTGCCCTAGCCAGGCAGCTTCTGCAGCAGGAGTGGAGACAGAGGAGGCGCTGCCATGGAGGGGAGGGGATGGGGTGAAGGCACAAGAGCCTCCATGCACAGGCAGGAGAGGTGTGAAACTCCCCCGTGCACTGGTGAGCACCAGGGCGTGTCCGCGGTCACATGGGCGTGCGGTGACGTGAGACTGGGCAGGCGGTATACGAAACACGCACGTGCCCGGGGGCAGTTTGGACGTGCCCGGGCACCTGTCCCCACCCACGCCGCGAAGGGCTGGGGCGGCCGCCCGTAATCTCGTTAAAGCAAGAGTCCTGCGCTGCTCCCTAAGAGGATTGGAGCTGCCAGTTGGACAGTCGGCAGAGAGATCCAGCTGGGGTTGGCACAGTACGGGTTTCCAGGTCATCTGTCCAGGCACAGCAGCTCCAGCCGGCCTGTCTGAGTGGGGTCTGCCTAAGGGGAGCAGGGCCCCCGGCCCGCACATTGGTGTCCCCGCGGCCAACAGATAGGGAAGGGGAGGAGAGGGATTCGGCTCCTTCCTTGCACGACAGCGCAGGGAGGAGGGACTCAACTTGCAAGGACGGCACCTCGCCAGCCCTGCCTGCTGACCTCCAGCCCGTTCACCAGGGCCACATGGGCTGTGTCTACCCCCACCCCGGAGAGAGGCCCCAGCCAGCAACGGGGCAGGGAGTCCCGAGAGCCAGGGCTGGAGGAGCTTAACTTGGTCGACTGACAGCTGCAGGTGGCACCGCCAGCCCCAACCAACCCCCCAGGCCTCACTGGGG